CGGATGTCAGTTTCAAAATGAGAAAAATAATAATATATAAATGACTATCTCTTTATAACAACACCAATTCAAGTAAAACAAAATAGAAGGAAATAAAAAAAAACGTAAACTTTGTCACTTAATTTAGAGTTGTAACGTATGAAATTCAATTAAATATTACAAAGAATAAAACGTAAAGCGCACAAAACACAATATGAAGATTGAGTGAAATTATTTAAAACATATGGTGTAACTATATTTCATGGAATGCAATCTACTCACCATGTTAATACTCTGCAAAATAACTAACTTAACAACAAAGACGGTAACAGAGAATTAACACAATTTATATTCAAATAACCTAAAAGATTATCACTAACAGCGTTCAGTTAGTGATTCACATTACTCAAACAGCAAATCGGTCCGAGATTGCTGATGCACTTCCCGCACTTGCACGTCAGCAATTGTTCATAATTCCCAAGTTCTTCCCATAACTTCTTGAGTCTGCCATAGTAGTCCATTATTACCATACCCCTTTGTTTGCATTCTCCAAGAATAGATTTTAATTGTTGGATTCGTGGTCTATTGGTTATGGAAAATCGATCTTTGATGTCATTCCAAAGTTCATGTGCTATCTCCACATGAGAGATAGTGGACCGTAGCGAAGGCTCGATTGTATTTCGAATTCATGACACCAATAGTGAATTGATCATTCACCAATCTTCGAGATCCACTGATTTCTTGTTAGGTTGTGTGATTGTTCCGTCAATAAACCCGAATTTCTTCCGGGCCCTCAAAGCTGTTCTAAACGAACGAGCCCATTCATCATAGTTGTCTCCTTTTAATTGAACTTGAGTAATAAGAAGACCTGGATTATCAAGAGACGTAATATCATAGGGTGATATCGTCTTCCTAGTTTCACTGGTAGAGGCCTCTTTGTCAGCCATTTTGATGTCACTGGTTCTGGATCTGTCAATGGTTCTTGCTCTGGTACCATAACATAACACAGATTTTTAGCGGAAACATTCCCATCTCTTTCTCATTCATTCACCGATTAATATACAATCAAATATTTACCTAATTAGGCAAATATTCACACCCCTAAATACATGCTATAGTCAACATAAGAATAATTACCATCTCAAGAATATTGACTACCTAAAATATAATATTTACATAATATTCACAATAGGCTAAAATCCAAAAAAAAAATTAAAGTTCAAATATTTTCTTTCAGAAACTCAAGACCAACTCACACACAACTCGACCCAACTCGACCCTTCAATCAGTAGACGGCAACGCACCAGCGCGTTTGTTTCAAGCAATGATCATCTAGGTCATTTTTCTTTAACCCAATCTACATTAGAAATAATTTCCATTGAACTTACTTCATGATTGTAAATATATGAAATTAATCTCATCACGTAGAATTAGACATCATAATTAGTGTTACTCAATATCAAGTAGTCGATATCACAATATAAACTGTCAGTAAATAAACCATAAGTTCTGACAATCTCCTCATGAATGACATTGTACTTCCAATCTTGTCCTTAAGACATAATTTTCAAAAGTCCTTTTAGCGAATAGTACATCATTGGAGATGTAAAATATATCATAAGACATAAAAATAATTTATCCTTCCGATAATATAATGTTGTTGTGTCATGTTAATATATTGACTGACGAACACAATAATATTAAACAAATAAATTTATTTGTTTGTTTGATAATGTTGTCATGTTAAGTGTCTGATGTTACAGTGTTGATCGATCAATACATTTATTTTTATTTGCCTAATATTTTTCGGTTGATCACCGCTACTATGTTGTTCACCATAGTATAATAATGTTAATTACTATTGACCACAACATAATAGCACTACTATTTTGTTTACCATAACATATAGCGCTACTAATATTGATGTGTTAACTGGTTAACATAACAATAGAGCAACATTGAAAGGAGAAAAAAACCAAATATTGTTGTGATTACTAGCGCACGTCAACACATCAACATTGCCGAAAAAAGAAGAAGTTAATGTTGATGTGTTGACCGGTTAACACATTATTATTATCGGTCAACACATGAAGTCATCATCACTGCTGAAGAAAATAATAATAATACTAATAATAGTAATAGTAATAATAACGACGACGACGACGACGATGACGACGACAACAACAACAACAATAACGGTGAGCGGCGATCGATGGTCAAATAATGAAATGGTAGTAAAATTAAGGTTTGAGGGATGAAATTGAATTTAAAAAAAAAATCAAAGGTGTTGCATGTAATTCTGTCCAAATGGATATTATTGTATGTTTAGGTAAAACGATTTTTTTTATGGACCTACTTTTTTTTTTAGAAACAAAATCAATTTTCATTCTCTAACTCATTTCAAAAGAGATTACATAATGTATTAGTGGAGGAAGATCGTATAAGTGACTGTGGCCCTACTTTGACAGAGATACCACTTCGTGAGCCACACGGTTCCCTTCTCAGAGTATATGTTGGACTATAAATTCTTCAAAATCTTCTCTAAAACATTTAATATCCATTATGATATTTCCATATCCCGCTCGAGAATCAGAAGTTCCCTTTACGGCTGAGGTAACCACAAAAGAATCGGCCTCTATAATGATCTTCAACCAATTCTTTTCGTGAGCTAAATGGACAGCCAAAAAAAACAGCTTTTGCTTCCACCGATGTAGGATCCAGAGGTTGTCTGACACACTGGGTTAACCACCCTAAGCACACATCCGAACTTGATCTACCGATCGCTCATAATCCACAAACTCCATCCACGCAATTAATTGTGGCATCAAAGTTGATTTTCACCGTATCATTTTCCGGGGGTTCCCAACGCACCAAGTTTCTATCACTTCGAACACAAGGCTGCAACACGACTGATGTGGAAACATGAAGTCCTTTCCAGCTTTCTGTTACTGTTTGCTTCCCTTCAAATATTCGTTTATTTTGGCATGCCAAATAGCCCAGCATAATAGGATACTTTTTACAAATATTTTCGAATCAACTTTCTTTCTAACTCCTTGCAACCACTTATATACTTCTATTTCCGACGTATGATACATCGCCTGAGGGAGGTCACTTAGTGCCCAAAGTTGACTGTGTGAAAGAGCATTAAAACAAATTGTGTAAAACATTTTCTTCCCTTTCGCCGCATATTACGCAACAACAGTCCTCAAGTATCCTTAGATTCTTCAAATTTGTAGTCGTAGGTAGAAGATTATTATAGGCTCTCCAAAGAAAGATTTTGATCTTACTAGGGAGGTTAAGGTCCCAAATCCATTTCCAATTCTCTCTATTCGAGGAGTTCGAACTGTTACCTAACCAGCCATGTTCGTCTTGTTCATTTTGAGTTGTCAGGTGGTAAGCGCTCCTAACCGAAAAAATACCATTCTTGTTGTAATGCCAAATGTAACAATCCGAATGCAGTTGATTACCAAGGGGAATGACCGGATGGCTTTGGAATCTTCATCGAAGAACATGTCATGAATGATGTCGGATTTCCAATTTCCCATTTCTTCATCGATAAGTTCACAAACTTTCATATCCGACGACCGATCGACAATCACCTCTAGGTGTAAAGACCTAAAAGGTACTTTCTCCCGGGAGCCATTTATCACCCTCACACTTTAACTAATGTCCCATTACCGATGCGCCAACGAATACCTGCTGTAAGAAGTTTAATCGAACCCCACAAGCTCCTCCATGTATAGGATGGATTTGAACCCAAATGAGCACCAAGGACGTTTGTAGACGGGTAATAACGAGCTTTAAGAAGCTTACTCAATAGACTATCAGGCTTTTATAGCAAACGCCACACTTGTTCGGCAAGGAGAGCCATATTAAAAAATTCCAAATCTCTAAAACCTTGTCCACCGAAATGCTTACTTTTGCACAACTCCTTCCATGTGATCTAATGTATGCCTTTGCCATGCGAACTTTCCCACCAAAATTTTGCCATATAGCTTTCGATCTCCTTACAAAAGGTGACGGGTAGTTTAAAACAACTCATTGCGCAGGTCGGAATTGCTTCGACTACTGCTTTGATCAGAATCTCCTTACCCCCTTTAGAGCCATTTCTCTTTCCACCCTCGAAGCCGCGAAATTTTTCTCTCTCGAACGTTAGCAAATACCTCCCTCTTTGATTTACCGACAGCCGAGGGTAGACCAAGGTATTTTTCATGCATTTCCACCACAATCATGGGCAGGAATTCCCGGATTTTATCAATTATCTGGAAGTTTGTACTATTACTTAACACAATACTTGATTTATGAAAATTTACTTCCTGGCCTGAAGCATCTCCGTACTTTTGAAGGATTTCTTTGATACATTTTGCGGAGTTTTTCATTAGCTTTGCAGAATATCATTGTATCGTCGGCGAAAAGGAGGTGAGAGACCTTTGGAGCGCCTCTACAAATTGCAAGACCGATATATTACCGTTGTTCTCTTCTCGTGGACCTATTGTAAAGGCCTTATGTCTCTTGAATATTTTTTCTTAAATTCCTAAAAATAGAATACTTAAAATTTGAAGTATAGAGAATGAGGATGTTTCATCATGTACATACCAACCATATTAAATAGTAGCTCTTAACAACGACAATACGTAAACTATTGAATATGTATTTATCAAGGGAAGACTTCAATTTGCAGGTTAATTAGATAATAATTGGTCGTCGCCACCAACCACAAGCTGGATTAATTATTATTATTATTTTATAATATAAGCCATTATAATAGGGTTTTTGTACATAAGTCCCTAACCAACCATCTTTATTATAAAGTTAACGCCGAAAATTGGCGGAAAAATCAGGAACACCGAAGACCGGCGGTCTAACGGCATAATAATAAAATGATTGATACATTTCCTATCTCAACTGTCAACCAACAAACCAAACCAGGTGGATCGATCGTGGCTACCACTTTAATATTTCTTCATTCTATCATATATACCCATGAATGTGAATAGCAACGACTTTGATGATCATTATCAATGGAGAGTAGTCGACGTCGTCAAACAAATGCCAAGAAAACCAGCAGCAGGCGGCTGTGCTGCGACGACGCTGACACCGTCAGAGTTCCGTTCCAAATTGTGACAACCACCCTCATCAGTCTCCTCCTTCCTCTCTCATTCCTCCTCCTCGCCCGCCTCTCAACCGCTCAATACATTCTCTCCGCCACCAACAACTACCCCAAGGCGGCGGCGGCGGCAGTGGCGGAGCCCACTTCCTTGTTATGCTCATTTTTTTTAAACTCTAAAAAACCCACAATTCTCCACATTCTAGTCACTCTCATAACTGTATCATCTCTAAGTTACGCCTTAACCGGGAAATTCATACTCCTGGTCAACCATTCATCTGATCATATTCATCCCTCAACAAGACGACGCCGTTTATACGCTGCATGGTGGTTCCTCTTCGTATTCCAAGTTTGCGTTGGATTATGGATCGAAGGAAGCATCGCCACCGGAATCGACGGCTCTGGTTTTGGTCGAGAGAACAGCTTTCTCTTAAGAGTTGTCTTCTTTTTTGGTCTGCACGAAACGATTGTGTTCTGGGGGAGGACGGTGGTGAAGCCGGTGGTGGATGACACCATATTCGGTTATTGGAGGAAGGAAGGATGGGTTGAGAAGGCGGCAGTAGGGCTGAGCTACGGCTGGTTTTGGTGGTGGAGGCTTAGGGACGAGGTGGAGGCGCTGGTTGTCGTGCCTTCCCTCAAGACCAGCACCACCGGAGTTGGAGTTGGAGTGGCCGATTTCATGGGCTGGTGCCTTTATTATCTCACGGTCACCATTGGCATTGTCAGGATCGTCAGAGTCTTTATACTTACGGCCCTGATTTTGACACGTCGGAGAGAGGAAGGAAATGATGACAAGGTCTGATTAACTGGACCCCACTTCTATTTTTTTTATTTATTCTTTCTGAAAAAAATATGTTCGTGATTTTTTTTTGGGGTTCTTCAATCCGGTGAACTTGGAGGATTAAGGACACGATTTTAACTAAAAATAAGGTATATTTTGTGGATTATTGATAATTTTCAGAATTCGTTCAAAGTAGAGAATTTTGTCGATGTTAGTGTTGTTTGATTTTAGACGTTTATGTTTACTTTCAAATAGCAGATGTAATATTTTGCATTGCTATATAAATAGCAGACGTAATATCTTGTTTGAATTCTCAACTTTATTGATTTTTTTAGTTTTGCCATAGTAATAGATTTCTCATAATGTATGACATTTTATGGTTGGACTTAAATGAATTTTTATTTTCAATGAACCTGTAATATTTTTTTTTTCTTTTACAGAGTGTATATTTTCTCCAACTCGGATTAAAAAAATCTTATGCAAAGTCTATAAATCTTTGTTTTTAGTTTGCGGTTCATTAGAGTTTTATTTTGATTTAGCATTTCTTTTAGATTTTAGGAGTTTTCACTTCTTCTTTTTTCCGTCTTGCGATCATAATATGCCAAACTTTATTTTTATCGATTTGATTTTTCTTTTTTATGCATGCATAATGAATTACCAATTGTTTACTATTAGGATCAATTAAATAGGAGATTCATAAATGGTGGTGAAGAGTATGTAAGAGGGGTGGTTTATGTTTTGCCATACATTATAAATGGACAAATTTAAGGAAAAAAAACTAAACGAAATGAAGAATTCAAGAACAAAAGAAAAAATTGGTGAAAAGAGTGAAAAAAAAAAGGTTGAATATATAAGTGGGAAATCTTGTCAAAAATGGCTAAAACTAGACAATCTATATATAAAGATTATTGGGGGTAATTTCGTCAAAAACAAAAAAAGCCAACAAATCTTTATAACAGTTGGTCAAAGGATTTGACTAACGGATCCAAGAAAAAGTTAGCGGCGGGGGTATTTGATGTTTTTCATACATCAGGGCGGTAAACGATACATTTCTCATAGTACAGGGGTGTAAAATGAATTATACCCTTAATTTTATCGTCTTGGTCTGCAATTTTACTGTCTCCGACCGTAATATTACTGTCTCCGACTGTAATATTACTATCTCATGCAATAATATTACTGTTTGGGACTGTAATATTAGTCATATTATTGTTCGGAAAAATAATATTCATAATATTACTGGAGACAGTAATTTAGCAGTCAAAACAGTAATATTGTGTTAAAAAAAAGGGTAAATTACACCCACACCCCTGAGGTATACTTAAATAACTTTAAGGTCCCTGTGGTATTGATAATTACACTCACCCCCTTGAGACGTAGTTATAAACTACAATGGTATAATGCATTGGATACGTTATTACGATAGAGTTCTAACGGACTATTGGTTTCAGGAAGTGGTGAAGACAACAAAGAGTTATGGGTGATTTAAAAAATATTGGGGGAGCCATGTCACCCTATAACTCCCCATAACTCTATGTTATCTCCACAACTAGCTAAAAGTAATAGTCCAGTAGAACCCTATCGGAATAATGTATCCAATGCATTATCCCGTTAGAGTTTTTAACTACCTTTCAGGGGGGTGAGTGTAATTATCGATACCACAAGGACCTTACAGTTATTTAAGCATACCTCAGGGGTGTGGGTGTAATTTACCCTAAAAAATTACGAAAAAACAAATTTAAAAAAAAAATTCAAAAGGCGGTTGATTGGTCGGAAAAAAATTTCAGAAAAAAAAAAAAAAAAGTTGTCAACGCTGGAGTCTAGCCAGAAAAATTATTTTCTGAAAAAAAAAATTCAAAAAATTATTAAAATGGTGGTTAATGTGATATATTTGTTTAAATCCGGAGGTAATTTGTAATATTAAGGAAGTTAGGGTATAATGGATGAAATCGATAAAAAATATATTATGAAGGGTATTTTATTTAGAAGACTGTTTTTTGTCATGACCAATGCATTTAGAAATAATATGTATATACAAGTTTATTTTCATTTCTTTTTCATTTACATGTTTTCGTACCAAATATATTTATATGTATATATATGTATGTGTGTAGATTTTAATGACTTGGTCATCTCAATATATCCAACCATGGCCTCATTCTATCATAGTTTTCTGTTTGTCCTTTTGTCCCCTCTTTTGTTTATTTTTATTGGATTAATATTTTTTTATTATTCTATGTCCGGCCTACTTTTCTAAACAAATAAACAATGCTCTCTATGTATACATCTACACAGCTTTATATATTTTGAAATAAATAGTGCATGTTATTTTTCCTTTAAATCAATACTAGCTCATGGCTTTATTCATTTATTTATTTATTGTGTTTCCCAATGCAATTTGAAAATAAATATCATATCCCATTTATTTGTTACAGCTTAGAAGCAATAATAGCAAAATATAGAAACGAGATATATCCATGATGCCGGATGTTATATTCTCCTTGGATGGTGATAATTATGATCCTCTGCCTGCAGCTTATGTTGTAAGAGATGGTAGCGATGATCAACAAGATCCAATATTTGTTGAAAATGGTTTTATGGATTTCTTTTCCTTGCTCTTTGGTCAACAACAACAACAACAACAACAAGAAGATAATCCCATACTGGATCACAAACAAATTGCTCGTGATGATGATTGGACGATGCAGCCGCAAAGAAAATTGTTCACCAAACAATATGTGAATCATGAAAATCAATATTCGTTTGCTCTTGCATCATTGGATCTCTTGAACATTAATTATGGCAAGGGATTCAGCAGATCAATGACAAGATCATCAGAATACAATATTTATAATGATCTGATGATGATGAACACAGTTGTCGGTGCTGGTGCTGGTGCTGGTACTGGTATTGGTACTGATGCTGGTGGACATAAGCTACCAGTGGAGGAAATATTGAGAGTTGGTGGAGAGAGGTTCATCCAATTCTCGAGCAATAGAGTTGATGGAATTTCTACATTCATCCATCCTTATTATAATAATGGATCTTCACTTTCAGGTCTTTCTGTTGATGATGCTAGAGATGTCGAACTTGTTCATCTCCTTTTAGATGCAGCCGACAAACTAGGCACCAGACACAGATTCCTCGATCTAGCTACTAAAATTATCTTACTCTGTCTTGGGATAGCATCCGATTCTGGTTCTCCAATCCAACGTGTTTCCTATTATTTTGCTCAAGCTCTTCAACACAAGATTGATACAGAATCTAATATTAATAGTAACAACTACAAGAAGAAGAAGCTGCACCAACAAGAGCAACAAGAGCAACAAGAGCAACAACAGCAACAACAACAACAACAACAACAACAACAACAACAACAACAACAACAACAACAACAACAACAACAACAACAACAACAACAAGAGATCAAAAGTCTTGCATTAGGCACAAACAACACTTTCCTCACAACACACCAACAACTGCCCTTTGCACAAGTTATGCAATTTGCTGCCGTACAAGCCATCATTGACAATGTCGTCATCATGAAAAGTACGGAGGGTAAGATCCATTTGATTGATCTCCAGATAAGGAGCGGAATTCAATGGACGGCCCTGATGCAAGGCCTCGTGGACTACTATCCTATACAGTGCCTCAAAATAACAGCCGTCGGAACATCTGACCAACGGCATTGTATAGAGGAAACTGGCAAGAGATTGATCACTTTTTCAAAGTCCTTGAATTTGCCATTTTCGTTCGAAATACTGTATCTAAAGGACATGAGTGAATTCAAAGAAGATCTATTGAACATTGAAGCCGATGAAACTGTGGTAGTTTACTCCTACATGATGTTAAGGACCATGATATCAAGGCCCGATTTGTTTGAAAATCTAATGAGAGCGATAACAAGGCTAAGGCCGGCTCTAATGCTAGTTATTGAAGTAGAGGCAAATCACAATTCGCCTTTGTTTATAGATCGTTTCATTGAAGCCCTTGTGTTTTATACCGCATTTTTCGACTGCTTGGAAAGTTGCATGGAGAGAAGCAACGAATACAGAAGAGAACTTGAAAGCACTTATTTCGGTGAAGGGATTACCAACATAGTTGCAGCTGAAGGTGAGGAAAGGGTAACTAGAAATGTGAAACTTGATGTTTGGAGAGCATTTTTTACGAGATTTGGAATGGTAGAAACGGAACTCAGCGAATCAGCAAAGTATCAAGCTAGTTTGGTTCTCAACAAGTTTGCACATGGAAGCTCATGTACTCTTGAATGTGATGGCAAAGGCCTTATTGTTGGATGGAAGGGAACACCATTCCATTCTCTTACTGCTTGGAACTTCTCGTCGTACAACTCTTGAGATTTTTCACCATCCTACAACGACCTCGGTAATCTTAAAACAAATTTAAGATTGTCTTTGAAAGTCTGAAGAATCCGGCAGCCGGCAGCCTCTACCAGATTCGGGCTGCGGATGGTGATTGGCGGGGGCGACAGTTGAACTTTTGGCAAACTCCAACGTCATACAATTTCGCACTGGTAATTTTTTTTCTGTGACATTCCTGCAACTTTTTTTGTAGCAACATTTCAACGGCTTCTCATCACTCTCTGTTGATATATATTTTCAATATTATCATATGTGAACTAAAATGTATATAATGTTCGAACTTCCACCGACAGACTGTTTCTATTCCAATCCAAAGATCACCAATTCTGGAATGAAAAAGGAAAATAAAAGAAAAAAGAAAAACATTTCAATTTCAAGATTCTGATTTTCTTCACTAAAAAAAGGATTCTGATTTTCCATTTTTCTATTTTATATTTCTTTTAACAAAATTAGAATTAGTTATTGACATTAAAAGAATGATAGTTTTTTTCAAAAGTGTTAATTTCACCCATCATTTTGATCCACAAATTTGCATAGAGCTATTAGGGAAAGCCGGAGAAACAATACAAATAAATGAAGAAATGATTTAGTTAATCAACATAAAAAATTATCACTCGGGCTGTCGGGCATTTATACTACATCCATAATACGCTTACAACACTTAAAAGATATGATAAACACCATCTTAATGTTGCGATATGAGTCCCATGATCCAGTGACAAATTCGAACGATGAATATATATGAGCCGAGTTTAAACCTAGCACTATAAAATCCAATGGTATATGAATTTAAGCTTCTAACTGAAAACCCGATAGTATTTGACATTGAACGCACCAAAGCTTGGCTTACATAGCCCGATTGCCACACCCATATATACATATTACAAGAAGGTTTTGACATACTTTACAATCGTCTTGATATTTAAGACACTGACATGTGTCAATCCTGATCAAGAAGGTCACACCAAGAAGACATTATGAAAAGTATATGCTGCACCTTGTTGATTACATACATTTAAAAGAAAATACTTAAAACAATCGACATAAGTTGCTAATTTGTGTATCAATATCAGAATTAAGTCATGAACTTAAAATTGGGGAGGTGTACTTGACAAATACAGAAACGATGACATTAACGAAACAGTAGAAAAAACAGATGGTGCTCACGGACTCCTTTAAACAGGCTTTCTTTTATCAAGACTCGGGAAATGTCTTGGATCATGCCATAAACTCAAGCTGTTTCAACATCAGAGCTTGACGAGTTTGACATCTGTTGAAAACCAAGAAAATGACCTCATTATAATCATAAATGGCTTCATTCCAGATATACTAACTACAACACAAGTAGGAGAAATGGGAAAAATATTCAAACATCATTTCATTCCCAGTGGCAACTTAACCTTAAATAATGTCACAGTCAGTTCGGGTTGGCGGATTAGAACCATATCAGAAATTTAACATGATCTATTGAAATAAGTTCTACTACGAAATTCTGAAATAAATATCCCCAAAATGCCACTAGCAGGATTCTGACAGCCTTATAAATGACTTGCGCAGTGGTGAGAAATAATTTTGAATTGGGTACAAAAACACAAAGAAAGAGTAGTAGTTGAACCATCATGAAAATCAAAATCAAAAGACATTTAAATATCCAAAATTCCAGCCCAAATAATAGAGATAAGGAGACGCAATATAGGTTCAGGCTAATTCGGGAAAACAGAACTTACCTTGCGCTGAAGACTTGTTATTGCTGACTTCAACAAGGCATCGCCGACAATCAACCTCAATTTCTTGACAAATACGTCCCTAGTTATCTTCTTATTCTGCCAAACAGCAGGGAAAAATGATTTTGAACTTGTGCACAACCTAGAGCACCAAATAAGGATAAGAGAAATTCAATTGTCAACAAATATATACCTTGAACAATTCATAGTTGGATTTAACGAGGTCCATGCTTTGAGGAGGAACTTTATTTGAGATGGAGGCGAACAGCATCGGAAACGGCATCCAAGGGCTCATGGGAATCCTCTTCTAAATTTAGAGAAAAAGGCCTTGTGAGAAAAACACAAATGCAAAACAACATATATTTCAAAAATTCAATGATAATCACTCAGCACCCATCTGCAAGCTTCAATTAGCATTTCAACACTTCAGAATTCAACTCGTCCTTACAAGACTTTTTTTTTCTGGACAGACTAAAGTAGATCAGTTTCAAGACATAATATCTCAAAATAAAAGCAACAACGCAACAGCACAAAAAGCTACCCAGCAGTAAAATCAAATCATGTTAGATGTTGTTCATAAAGCAACAATGCAACAGCTTTACCAATCCGATTCCAAACAACTTTACTAAGCCAATTAATACAAACACGTTAACCAAATAGTTAACACGAGGCCAACAATAGTACTGGATGAACCTTTGCGCTAGAGTATATTCTTGGGAAGAATGAAAACAGGACAAGTGATTGCAGGTATCTAGTCACCAAATATACAATGGGGTAAGATCGTAATGCAACCAAAAACTATTTGGCGACAGCAACAGTTATATCTACATCCACAAACTGGTTAGCCTTATCTAGGTGAAATTTATACAATTAGACAGATAATAAATAAGAAAGAAGTTAACAAAGAATAAACTCAGACATGCATAAAGCACATAACATATGTACCAGCAATGTCAGAGAAGACTATACCTGGCCTTGAGGATCGAACCCTGAAACATCAACCCTGTTCCCCTGTCCAATCACATGCCCTGTAGAAGCACTTTGAGAATTAGAACACAAATGTTATACAGTTTATGAGCAAAACAATAAAGAGTTACTACAGCGATGGCATAAATTTGCCATTACTATTGAATTATTTGTTTTTATATAGACATATTTTTTTAGAAGATTACTACTAATATTAAATTATGAATGTAAATAAAAGTGAAATCCAGTTTAATGAGTATAGGGAAAAAACAGCAACGATACTATGATATGAAACATCACAGCCAGTACAGAAGAAGATTTATGCATACAGCATGAAAAAGGAAAAACAAATGCAAGGGTAAACTATCACCTTCAACATCTGAGGTCGGCTTGAAACTAACAATACATTCTGGATAGATATGAGTGTTCATATTCATGTTCCATACAACATATTGCTCTGGGCTTTCAAGATTGTCAACGCCGCTATCAAAGTTCTCGCTACTGGGATGGTACTGGTTTGATCCAAATGGCACAACTTCCATATTCCCCATTATAACACGACAGAATACCACATGTCGTGACCCATTTTCGTCAACATCAATATTATTGATACTGTAGAGAACAAAAGAAAATTCTACCATAGGAAAAGATGTCCAGACAAACTAAATAAGCACTCACAAAGAACTCCAAATGATTTACTTGCAATATAGCAAGTCATATTGAATAGATCAGCAGCCTAGATAATGAGCTACCAATAACAACCCATCAAACCACAAACAAGATGACCTATAATAACAGACACGAAATATGTTGAATTTGCGAGAAATACATCATGTAACTAGAAATATCACAACAGCAAAAAAATATGTAAATCAGCAAAACATTTTGAATTTCCATGAGCATGTAACTTTTCAAGGCCTTCTTCATTCGGACTTGGGAGAAAAACTTTGGTACATTTGGATGTCCCAACAAACTGCACTCAGTTTCTTCTTCCATAACTTCATCAAGATAAGAGTCTATATATTTATGTGCTCTAGTCTTCCGAAAAATAAAACAGAGGAAAAACAAAAAAGAACAGCAGTACTAGCTCATGTAACTTGCAGAACACCAAAGCTCCACCAAAACACAGTGTAATAACAACATCAACACCATTCGACACAAATAAAAAAATCAATGATTACGGAAGAAAATCAACAGCATTAGACAGTGCCATATCAAAAGAAACTAGTAGAAAAAAACAAACCTGATCTGAGTGCCATTTGCAGGGATTAGATGTATCCCCATACCATGCAAGGGCTTCGTTGTTAACGGCTCATAATGGCCAATACCATATTTCAGTATAGTTGAAATTGTTCCTATCGGACAAGGAAGCCAGGCGTATTGGACATTTGCATCCCCACGGTACCTTTTAGTGATATCGACCTGTTTCTCAAAAAGTTCAGACCGAGTTTCCATGACAATACTCATGCAACGATGTACCTCCTCAACGTTAACGTCAATTGAGCGAATAGCTTTCAGGAGCATCTCCTTCACAGCATCAGAGCCTAAAGACCCATGCATGCTATTAACTGCAACGACTATGTTTCCTTCCATCAGCTGATTGTAACCACGTTTCTCATCAACTTCAACATCAGATGCTTTTGCATGGATTTCCTTATCACCATCTCTCAGAACAGTATCCTTGTGAGCTTGTACTTGCTCAACATTCACATTGGACTCCCCACTAGATTCATTATCTAATCCATGTATTTCAATCTCCAAATGCAAATTGATATTATTGGACCCCTGAGGTTCTTCATCTTCTAGATGATCATGGCCTTCAGCAAATTCATAGTGAAGATCATGTTCTTCATCATAATCATTACTAACTATTTCAGGGAAGAAACACTTTCCAGAAATATCAATCCAAGCAATAGGCCGAAGAAGACCAGTATTCATGTCCAACTGCGTCATATGCAAGAAATCTAACAAAATTGCATTTCCATTGACCTCCACTTCTACTGCAGGATTCTTAACAATGTCTTTGTTGACAAATGCAACAACATCCTGGGAAAAGTCTTCCCACTCATCATTGTCATAATACATTAAACGCTGCAGAATTCCACTTTTCTTGAAGTTAGAATAATATTTAAGCAGACGTTTCCCAGATGGAAAAGCACACCCTCCGTACTTGTTCGCGGATCCATCTAACTTCCTTCGCTTGGCAAAATTGTGGATGGATGAAATAGGAGAGGACCGCAGAGGAAAAGGCACACGAGTAGCTCCAGTAGAGCGGATGGTGCATCGATCTGAATGCTTTCTCTTCAGATCAACATGTTGATAACTATCCAATACCTTTTCGTACTTTGTGTTCATTTGTACCTACTGGATCAATCCCTATCCACCAATTCACAGCCAAAAGTTCAAAGATAGCAGCTTCGCCAAACTTACTTGAGGTTTTGCCTCACAAAAAAAAAGCCATCACTAACTGCCGAGAAACCCTGAACAGCAAAGTTACAGCTTAAAAGAGTTGAATACAAACTTCTAAATAATGCAACAAGAACACAGCTAACAATACCAGCTGCCAAATCTTAAGCATAAATTCAACAGCACTCGCTCAATCAAGCAGCAAGGATGCACCGTACAAAAAAGGAGGCAAATTGACTTACTTTATTATCAGCATTATAGACACTTAAATGTTTGTAACAGAAAGATCGTACTTTAAAGCTATTCACCTAGAACAAAAGGTATTCTAGCTAACAGGTATATAGTTTGTAGCCCTTGTAATGATATCAAATTGCTTAATCAAATACCATCAAAAGATTTTAATTCATAAAGGCAGTTAGCCATAAATAAAAGCACATTTCAATACTTCAAGTACCCTGCAAACTTCGTAACAGAAAAGTCATCGACTTGGTAGATGAATAAATATACACAGACACAGGTACAATTGAAGAGAATATCAGGCAGCACAATAATTTCAGCTTCAGGATACACAGCTAGCAGAACGAGTATTTGCTTTGCACCAAACATAACAACACTAAATTCTAAAAACAGCATCCAACATAATCAATTCCAAAACCATTTCAAATTAATTAATATCGCTTTCTACTTACTTAATGCAAATCCATCCGCTTAGTAATTTTGTTGGTAAAATGTTAATCATCACTGCACTAATTTGTCTAGACAATGGTCACACTCCATGGAGAAAGTAGTAACATAGTTAAGATTCCCCATGAAAAAGCAAGGCAGAAAAATTACAAAAACTTGTAGCAACTATAACTACCGTAATAAATAAAAATGCAACTCATCAGTGTTTTGTTTAATGCATTACCCTATGTGAAATTTCAGAAGCAAAACTTAAAAGACAAAGTCTAAGATCTTCATAAGACTGCGTGGTTATATCATACTTTTGTATTCTAGGTCAGAGATTAAGTGTCAAATATCCGGAATCTATAAAAAACTCGTAAATTTAAGGATTAAAAAAACAGATAATCAGGTGAGTTTACTATGAACTATTGAAGCTACCGTGATAGATTAATACGATTGTGATGCATCTAAATTTCTGTAAGTGATATCAGTGTTCTTGGTTGTTACATCTCTTACTTCCACATCGATAGTCGATATTCCTTTGTGCCTGTAATTAATTTTCATCGAATTCACTCAAGACAAACATAGCAAGTCAAGGACAAGGATCTCTTTCCAGAATATGGGTCAGACAATTTATAACATCATTGAAACTCAAAGCTACCGATCATGCAGCACATCACAGCCAGTACAAAGATTAATACTTTCAATCAAACGTCACCTTACTAAGAGTAATCATTTAAGCTAGCATGTTGACATCAAATAAAAACCATATACTAAAGTATGCAACACATAACCATATCATCATCCACATGCCAAATCTTCATCGTAATCATAAGACATTTAATATTCTCTTCAGTTCCTGCATGGCCACGACTTCAGGCACATTAAGAAAATACCATGTCCATCACATTATGAGCATAAATATGCATATTAATGAGCATTTACCTGCTCCTTCCTCAATAGAGCACAATTATACTACATCAAGAGCTCTGTGCATGCCTAAGGGGGCTTGCAAAAGATCCAGACGCTTTCCTTGGTTATGCGAGTTCTAATGTCAGATGGATAATTTTCTCAACTAATCTCCACACAAAAATCAACATTTGAACTTCTTCAATTAAGGAATAACAATTGTATCTCCAATTTTTTAAACTTCTGATGGTATTTTTTTTTTAAATTAAATCAGAATTATGCACCAATAAAGAGCAAATGCTATTCAAATTGCCACCCAATAATCAATTTGAAAGAACGGAGAGATGTTCTCAGAATTTAGAAATTATGAGTAACTAAAACTAAGTCTGTTTCATTAATTTAGCAACAACTGTTGTTGAGTCTACGTTGATGATACATATTGATGTTGTACAGTTACTAATTATCAGCAAAAATTGTGACGACAACTAGATCGTACTTCGTATTTTTTTTTCTCACCAACACATTCAGCATTCATTTCTTATGCGAAACAAAAATCTGCTACGAAGATAAATGAAAGAGAAAAGAA